TATAAGGTTTGCTTCAACCCTGTTTGGTAAACATTAATTCTTTGGTGGAATTTTGGGAACTCGAGAGTAGGGTTCAAGTGTTGCTTGTGGACACCATGCAGAGGACGATGGTTTATATAGAGAGTTTTGGTTACTGTGTTAAGGAGATTGGCCATTTCATTTCAATGCAAACGGGTTTATTTCTCAGGCGGAGAAATTTTTTGGAGGTCTACTCGTTGCACCGAAATTCCAGTCAAGGTGAAGATTGTTAGATTTTTGTGACTCAAATATGTTAGGAGTCTTGTGAGATTACATATTTGATTTTTACTTGGAAAGGAAGATTGTATCCAAGTTGAATAAGGAAAAGAAATCCTCTTTAGGTCGAACTTCTATGCGCAATTGTAACCTAATTTTAACATATTTTCTCACATTTTAGGACTCTTCTAGGATTTGGAACATGGCCTATAAATACAAGACTCCTCTGTTAGTTTTGTTTAAACATTATTGCCGTGTCTGTAACTTCTCTCCATATTGTCTGTTAATATAAATCGTTCCTCTGCAATTAAATGTCTTTGTTCTTTCTTACTTTCAATTTTGTTTCTTGCTGTGATCTTTATTACTTCATATTATGTCATTAATTTCATTCATTACAATCCATCATCATCCAATATTACGATGTTAAATTTGCTATGTGTAATTGGAAATTACTGTTGGAGTGTTCTATTAGGAGACATTATATTTGCCAAAACAAGTATCAATTTCATGGAGCTTTAGAATTACATAAAACAATTTGAATACTTCAGAATGATGCTTGGTTTTTAGTTTTGTACTTTCCGGTGAGGATTTTAAATGTCGTTTGAATGATGCATTTTTCCCATTTTTCTTTTCAATCAAGTTTACAACGATGATTAATCATCCATCTAAATCAAGTTATTACACAGAATCTGAACAAGGTGTTGCTCAGGTCATTGTACGAGGGAAAGTAAACTTTGAGAGGGAACCATGGCTAAGCATTTGAGAAAGAGCCAAGAGTCTTGCACAACAGATGTAGGAGCGTCATCCTAAGCTTCGACTCACTGCAAAACAAGTTTTGGGAAAAATATTGTTCTCGTTCGCTATGTTATTTAATGAATATACATCCTTTTTCATTATGCTATAGATTTGTTTTGTTCAGACAACAACCATTCTTTAATCTCCTATTTCATGCTGTGTATTATTTACGTATTTCTTGGGCCTAGGATAACTGGGGAATCAAATATAGGAGATTGTGGCGGAGGACAATTCACTCGTCGTACTCATATTTTCATACCTACATTAACCGCTTCGAAGCTAACAAGAATGCAGTATTGACAATGGAGATCAATCATTGCTATAAAAAAAATGAGCCCCTCAATATTAGGAAAGATTATTTCCTTCTGTGGAAGCAATATACAACTGACAATGTATTGTTAACTTCTTCGTTCGGCTGGAAATGAATATTTATTTTTTATATAATATTAAACTAAGAAACCAAATTTAGTGCCTAAATAAATTCAAATGTGTTAAGAATATATTTGTTATCTATTTCGTATTCTTTTATTTCATTGTTCTAAATTTTCCAGATTCAACTAAAAGTACTTAAGTATACAGGTAATAGTCTATTTATACTTTTATACTTCATATTTATTGTGTTTATATTTCAAGCCTTGTTACATGTGCATGTGGATACGATCATCTGTTTTCTTTTTCTTAGAAATAAACATCAATAATATGAATATCTGACAGCCTTCATTCCTAGTATCTCTAATCTGCAAACTTTTATTACCCATTACTTTCGTCATGCTCTTTCATTATGAAAATATTAATGAAAATAATGGACTCAAGTATTTACTATAATATCAATGCAAGTACCATGAATTTTTTTCCAACTTCTTTTATGAGCTAATCTCATTCTTTGATCTACAGCTTAATAGGCAGAAGAAATTCCATGATACGAAGTGCTTACATGCTATTGTATTGACGGTGGTGTTTGTTGGGAATCTACTGATCATGCGCAACGAAAATAAAATAATCTTCAATTTCCACCAAAGATCTGCTTTGTGTTTAGATAGAAACTGTGATAGAGATTATACCTTTTACAAGATCTGCAAACTCCTTTGCTATTCTTTCGTTCCAACGATCTTAATTCACCAACTGTAGGTGCTTAATTGTTCAATCTCCCAGAAAACATGATTATAGGATTATGGTTTTTTTCTTCTTGTGCTAACAAAAATGAATTCTCTACAAATTTTGAAAACCCTAGTCATATTTATATAAGTCCAAACGGGCTTGACTTGATCCGATCCAATATTTAATGAACTCATTTAAATAAATTCGGTCCGTGAATTAATTAATTCAGGCCTATAAATAAGCAACCTAATTAATTAATTTATCCAACGCTGGTTAAATTAATTAATTGATAAATTACAATATTCTAATTTTCTTTTTTTGTGCGACCCATCAGGTTCTCTATCATGATGACTAACAACGTGAAATATTATTTTGATCTAATCAAAATTGATAAATTAAAACACTATTTGATTTATCACGAATTCACACTGGCCGTCCCAGATTAATATCTAACAATGTATCAGGGCAATACATGTGAGGGAAAATGTTACGTGGTATGACAAAACCAAACTCGTTCATTTATCGTGAAATTATAATTCTTTCGTCAATATGATCCGATCAATTACGAGATATGGAAGCGTGTCAATCTCGATTATTGATCATATCTTTCATGTCATTATTAAATCAATATTGTCGAAAACTTCTTTTCGACTTCTGAGTACATCTTGACCAAGGATTTCGTTATGAACTTAATTGAATGAAATGCAGATTATAATTTCTTACTATCTAAGAGTGACGAATCCTCTATTAGTAATTCACAACCTTCATACAATTCTTGACATACCCGAATGATGATGTATTAGCAACCCTTGGCAGAGCAACATGCAATACTATCAAAGCATGACTGTCCTCATATAAGACACTATAACGACCTCAAGTCAAAGTACAAATCCACTACCGAATATTAGAGATTAACCACTAACAATTAGATAGTTATCCATGTGGAATCTCTCGGCGGGTCTCCAATATTTTGTTTTATAACAAAACATCTACGTATTCATTCAAGTGACACCACACTTTAACTTGTGAGATCAGCTACTTACTTCACAAGTAAAAAATGCAATATGTGATTGTCTACCCGTAATAACTATATCCGTATCTCATCATTACTTATGACCACGGATGATTTAAGATTCAATCATATCTAATTTATATCTTACAATCACAACTTCTTGTGATTAATAAATTATCAAGTTTGAATCTACAGACTCTACTATTTAATTTAATTGAATAATAATTAAATAATAGATCTGCTATAAAATTGCATCAATTATATATTAAAAGTATTTTTATTCAAGGTTGATTGGATTTAGGGCATAACACTTACAGTGTTTCCACAAAATCTTTGCTACAGTAAATATGTGTATATCTCCTTTCATGAAATCTGTACTCATGAGATAAAACTTCTTACCCCAGACAAGTATATTAAAAAAATAAATAAATAAACAACTTGTTTGTATTCACTAGAATAAAGATTGTAGTATTCATTTAGTTTAATTAGAAGTCCCAACTGGAAACATCATTTCACTCCCAATTGAAGATAAATTGTGGCTCTAATTGGGATAGAACCATAGTCCATCTTCAAAAAAAATAAAATTGGAAACACTCAGTAACAGTACATTTGAAATTACCAACACAATTTTGTTCATCTTTAACCACAGCAATAAGATTTCTACCTTGCTAAATTTCAGCAAGCATAGACAAGCATAAAGGTCAAACAGGTAAAGCATTTACACAAATTTCCTTCCCAAACGGTCCATAAATTCAATTCTTTAATCACAACATTATTACCCATTGTGATTAAAGTTACACATTCCGATTAATAATTTCAGTGCAGAAACGCAGTACAACGAGTAAAGACTGGAACAAAAAATAAAGATTACAAAAAGGTGCCTGTACTTTAAATCAACATCTTCATTCCAACAAGCATATTATCCAAAAAATAATTCTTCCTCATACATAATTGCACATTTTCTTTATGAAAGCACCACAAAATTGCATCATTACGAACTTTCATACAAATTTGTTCTTTTTTTTATTAAACAAGTTATGACAATGCATCGTAAAAAAATAGTTTTTAGAACAAACACCTAGGGGCTATTTGAGCCATATTTTTTGTCCCATAAAATGAGAAATCCTACCGTTGTAAACAATATCTCTCGTGACAACTTCCTGACTTAGCTGTACCATGTGCTACATATTCACACCATTCTTTCACATTTGCCCTTCGTTCAAACCACAAGAAAAGGACAACATGGGCACAAATGGAAATTAGCATGGTTTGAAAGCTTAATTGGCAGCAAGTCATGTGCTTTGGGTCCCACTATGATGTGACAGAAAAATGCATTCTTGGGAAAAAAATGTCGATCAAACGGGGGCCTATATGCAATCGTATTAGCTATCTTTTCTTAGAATTAAGTTCTACTTCCATGTACTTAATCAAATGAACTTTCTTGCACATTCTTCCACATTTCCTTGCAGTAACACTTGCGATTACAGACTTTTCAACTCTAAAACAACTTCTCAGAGAGATTTTTCTAATTATGAAGTAACTAATCATCTCATTGCCTGCATTGACATATCCTTCTTCACCACTAGATATTTTACAGCACATAGGTGCATGCATTGGTAATTGCACTTACTTTTCCAAATGTATGGTTGAAAATTAAAACAAGTGTAAATTACACTAGACGTCAAAGTTCGGGTTTATATTTACAAAAAATATCACTTTTTTAAAGTGCTTGCAAAATTGTTATTTTTGGGCATTTCTGCCCTCTGAATAATTTCAATGCCTTATATATCTTTTATTAATGAGACATGACTAGATGAAAATTTGTCACATAGTCAACCTCCATTTTTTTTAAACACTATTTCAAAAATCATGGGAGGTAAGGCCATTCTTTTAGTGCCCATTTTTCCCCTTTCTCCATTCCTTCATGCAAAAGACCACTCTTTCTCTCCCATTGAATCAAGCCCCAAATAAATCCAAGTAAAATCCCGAAAAGGGGAGTGAAGTAATTTTTACAGTACAAAAAGTCCCCCAGCGCCAATATCACCACTGTCTACATGGTCATCTTCGTCTCCACCACAGCTGTCATCCTCCTCCTCCGTACCCTTCGATACCATCATGGCCAACTCCCCGCTGCCATTAGTCGCGGTAGCTAGCTCTGGAATTCTTAAAGCTTATCATTAATTCTCATCCTCGTTAACTCCATCAACCCTAGTCCCCCCTTTCTCTCACTTTTCGTTGTTCTCTAATGGCTCAGATTAAAACTTCCTTGACCCAGATGAGTGATGGAATTTTGTTTTATTTTTTACCAATTTCTTATGTTTTATTCTGTTTACTGTTCTTGACTAAACCTACTAACGTGGTTAACTGGATTTCATCTGCGATTTGGGTATTTTTTGTTTTTCAACATGATCTTAATCTTAATAAATTGGGTTTTGATAAAGCTTCCAAATGTGGTGTCAAAAAATGTCGGATTTATAATACTTGCTTTACCAATAGTTGTTGTGAACACAATATTGCTCGAGATGATCAGGAACTCTGAACAATTCAATAGCGCTACGTGAGTGGGGTGTGGTGGTTCCATTTTGGTGCTAGTGTAAGTTTGTTACGGTGATCGGTAAAACGGTTTTGATGATAATTATAAAATCCTAAGCCTGTTGATACTTGTTTGATTCTAAGCATCACGTATAATGGTTTTCTAAAATATTATGAATCCTTGAATCATAGATTTAACAAAAAATTCTATTTTAGTCACAAGTTATAGGCAGCATCAATAAGGCTTTACAAGTTCTTAATGTGAAAAATTACATTATTTATTTAGATCTATATCTTAATTTTCGAAATGAAGATTTGTTGTTGTGGTTTTTCATGTCTCACTTATCAGTTTGTGATGATTTTTGGTAGAAGATGGTGGTGGCAATAATAAGACAGTGTAAGTTACAATTTTAAATAAATTACACACTTTATCAGAATTTAATATCATCACTTACCCAAAAAAAAAAAGTGATTATTCTTGCTGGGCTTTTTTTTTTTTTTAATACTCGCCTGAAGGGATGCATATAGAAAAATCTTGTGCGATTTTGGGTCCCTTTTATCAAATTGAATTTTCATTGAATTTTGGTGGATAAATTTATAAATATGTGGCAATTTTTGGTGCAGCAAATTCCTGTGACTGCGAAAAATCAATTTTCTGTGGTAAGTTATAAAGAAGATGAACTGTATCTAAGCAGATCCAAAAATGGAAAACAAGGACAAGGCAGTGATTAAGAATGTTGTGGAGGGTTTTTTGCTTATGGAATTTTAATGCTGTCTACTAGGTTAAGCCTTGATGGTGTTTTACTTTTCATCTTGAGAGTTGTCGTCTTTCAATACGAATCGTGTTCGATCATTTATTTCTGGACTCTAAAGATGATCGTCACATTACAAAAGGATTATGGATGTTCGCTATATTTATCATTGGCTTATGTGTTTATGTTTTTCCACATCATGATGCAAAGTTGGCTGTTAAATTGTTACTCCTCTTGCTGCCGCATAAATTCTGTCCTCCCATAGCCCAATGAGTAGATAATCTTTGCCACCAGTAGAAACAATCTTAGAAATTTAGTTGTTTTTCTTGAAATTCAATGCAACGATAAGAAATTGATCTTTCTACTTATATTGAAGCTCTTGTCTTTAAATATATAATAAATAATTTGAAGCTAAAAAAAATCACGTCCTTGGTATCCTTCCCATTATTGTGGTGAGTTTTGCATCGGTTAATGTCGGGTTTTGTTTGGTTTTTTATGATTTGATTTGGTTAAATATAAATTATCTCATGGTAGGATTCGGCTGCTTAATTTGATGGGATGCCTAGGATGAATTGATAGTTTTTTCTTTCGTTTCATGTGCTACAAATATCAAATAAATAAATTGATATTTGGTGCAAAAAAGAATATAGAGAGTTTTAATTGCTGCCATTTTTTCAAATTTAGATGGGAATTCCTTAAATTTTGTTTGTGTGCCAATAGTTTACTGCTTCTCTTAAGAAAAAGTTAGGATTAAATTGTTGTAAGAATTTGTTAACTTCCAATTAGAAATTAATTTCTATTTTGTTAATGAGATTGCTTCTCTATTATAATTCAATATTATGTTTATTTCTCACACATATTACATGCTTGGGGGGACATTCCTTGATAAGTCATCCATTTGTTAGGACTCATAGGAGGAAGAGTGCTTTGAATTAGTTGCTACTTGTCTTCTTTCGGATAGAGTATACCCACATCTAAGGTATGGAGTTGTATATATTTTACTCAACTCTTAAATTTCATGTATGAATTTGGCAGTCTAGGAAATAACAATGTAGAAATGCATGGTGTATGGTGATAACATTAGTTCGTGGACCATGTAATTTTCAATTGCTTTTTTAAATTTTCGTATGGTACTTCACTACTTCTTTAAACACTTTTTTGATTGAACTTGGTCAGAATCTTTAAATTTTCAGACATTTTTTCAACGGCAACTCACATGTACATTGGGAAACCGGGGAATAAGATTACAAAAAATAAGTGAAACTCTATAGGTTAAGGCTGAAAAATCATCTCCAATCATGGAACTCAACATGTTAAAAGCCTATAACGATAATGAAAGACAGTGCTCCCTTGTGAGTGCTTTAGCCCACTTGAATGACCTGGATAGTGGTTACTCCAAAGTCATTATCTAGAAAGGTTAATTTCCCACATGCCTAATATGTTTTAAATATATTTTGCTTGGTCAAATACTCTTAAGTTGTGCTTCCCTTTAAAATGGGTTTAAAGCACTATTACTCAATCAACTGATAGCAAAGTTTCGTGTTAGTCATGGAAGCTTATTTTATTCCAAAATAATTACTTAAGTTTGTTTTTAGTTTTTAGGAAAGTCACTTATCTAAAATACATCACTTTTTCTCTGCAATTTTTATTTTCATTTGAATTTCTTTCTTAGTTAGATTGACACTACCTATGGGTGTTTTATTGAATTCTTCATTGTCTCATTTTGATCAGAAACTATAGAAGAGATTTTGTGAGGCAGTCATAACAGAAATCAAACTTCATGCAGAAGATTGGAAGTATGTTCTATGAACAGATTGTCCTTGCAAAATTCGTAATACATTGTCTTGCATTTCAGTATTTGGCTTTGTATTTCTACCTTCTTGGGGCTAATTTATGGCATTTATGTGAACAGTCGTTGCAGAAATATGAGCTCCATCAGATGAGATATGGTGGCCTTACATATATAGAAAGGCGGGTAGGCTATAGCACAACATTGCACTGTCGAACAAAGCAAACAGCTACAAAACGTGCAACGGATAAAGTGCAGGCCTACATACAGTCAGGGGCAGCGCATGGATGAACCTGTGTATTATTCGTTACTATGTCATATTTCCGTCCACTGATGAATTTTATGTAACGTTATTTCTTGAAAATTGAGCAGACTATCGTTAAAGCTTTTAGCCAAACTCCATTATGAGACATCGGGCCATTGGATACTGTTTGAAAAAATTGTACTTTTGCACCCGCCTAACATGTTGGCAATATTATCCATGTGCTTTAAGTTGGTCTACTATTTCTTAAGGAAGCCAATAGTTACGACTTGTGCAACGGAGCTTAGCTTGCATTAAATTTGTTTTCATGGTGCAGGGGCTACGTCCTAAAGTACAAATACTTATTGCACATGAATGTATAATGTTTCTGATTGTTGGAAATTCGATGAAAAACTTGAACGATTTATGTACGGTGAAATGTTGGTATTGTTATCCATGCTGGTGCAGGTGGGTAAATTTTACGTGGTTTGAATGTTGTAACACGATACGTGAATATTTGGGGTAGTGTCATGAGTTGACACCCCGATTCATGGTTTTCGCATCCATTCAATGGTTATGTACAACTTGAAGTAGTCTATTATGAAACATACGTCTCACTTTATAATGTTTCATAAAATGATTGAATTCTGATTATGAACCATAAAAATATGACAAAGCCATGACAGTATAACTTACTATTAAGTAAAAAAAATAGTTATGAGACTTGTAGGAAACTTGAAGATAAATTGTACCCATCATTGAAGAGTCACAATTTACTAGTAAAGGTATACATAAGCTACAAGAACCATCACACCAATTGTCTTTCAAATTTAGATGAGATTGGACTTGGTGGTTGGGTGGTAAATGATCATAATTGCTTCCTCCCTTGATGCCCTGCTGTAAATAGCCATTTTCATTGCATTTTGAGTAACACATAAACACTTCATGAGCATTGTGAGTCTTTAAACTACTCACATGTATACACAAACCCTTTCACTTATTGCATTGAATCATTCTCATGAGTTCGTCGCGAGCAGAAACGAAGACTTCGACTTGAACGAGCCTCTACCAGTTCTCGGTTCATCCCCATTATTTCCAATCAACATTTCGTCAGACGATGATGAAGCTAACCCTCACATTGGTGGGGGAGCTATTTTCGCTGTTCCATTTTCCAACTTGGATGAAGTCACGACTAAAGATGAATCCAACGATGATGATTGGTTGGTGTATGTGCCACCATCTGAGGTAATTGTCATCTTATCCGATGATTATGATGACGAAAATGGGGGAGAAGGTTTAACCGTTGACAAAGAATGAATTGGGTAGAAATGAATTGTAGTTGTCTATGTAATAAGTTATGTATAGTTTATCTTTTGTAGGAATTTGAATTTGGTAATGTCTTTTTCAAAACTTCAACATAAGCATGTCCCAATCTATACTTGTGTGTCTTTTTTTGTACTTCAGACCAAGTGTTGAGCATGACAGAAACAATATGTCGGGAACATCAGATGAACTGTCGAGCTGTCATTCAATATGTTGTCTATGGATCGATATTTTGCTTGTAAAGTTGAACATTTATTTCACTTATTGTTCAATAGCGAAATGAGAATGCCGATGTAAGCCGAAGATAAAAATGTAAGTTGAGAATGTGTTGGGAAACACCGTAAGTTGAGACTACCTTTATGCAAGGTATGAGCGCCGCAACTGATAAATTGTTGAAATTTGTAAAAATTACAAAAAGCACTCCACCTCTAATATTATGCTTATAATTGTGTCCAAGTTTTTTAATTGCACTCCTCTTTTGCTTCGTAGTAATACTGAGGAACATTGACGTTGTTACAATAGTTATGTGTTTTCTGTTGAGTTTTTAAAAATCATTTTACTCACCTTTGTGCTTATCATTATTTTAAAAAATAGACTTTTTACCTTTGTCCTTATCTTTTGTGTTGTTTACCAACTGTTTCAGTGAAATTGTCAACTTTACAGTCATTTGTCGAGAATGACAGAAGACATTTGACGTGACCAACAATTTATCTTTCGAGATGTTGGACATGTTATCAACATGAGGATCCTTATTTTTTATGCCAACATAAGAGCAATAACGGCCGCAAACGATAGTGGCAATAAAAGCATACTATAACTTGACAATGTACTATGCAGTAGGGAAACATTAGACGTTCAACGTCAACAATGAAATCGAGTAGTTGTTTAAGAATTGCATTGGGGGTTAAACATGTGGTTCAGTTATAACCTTCTTGACCACAGAGTGTATTTCCTAAGGCGTGTGGCATATTCGTATCTTGATTGTTTATGTCGCATCGATGGTCTACCTAGAGGATGACATACAATGGGAGGTAAAACAGGAATACAACGAATTAAGTGCGGAACAACCCAATCTACTTCTTGCGAAAGACGATATATTGCTTCACTATAGGCATCCCAGTATTGAGGTCATCATGTTGTACGTTTTGGGGAACATCCTCTAAGGTAATCAAGTTCGCTGCACAGTTTGCATCCATTCCCATGTTGACACTCGGAAGGTTGATTTTCAAAATACTAATGCAGAGTGCAGTTTCCGTATGAACAGATATGTACCAATTTAAGTTTTCATCTTCCACCTATTTCTACCGGAGGTATATTCAAGTCCAGGACTTTGAACTTCAATTCAATCTCAGTGCAGGGTTGAACAATACCAAGTTTATCATTGAACCGTAACATAAGTTTGGCTACAATAATACTTCTCAGCTCTAAAATGGAAATGGCTTTATCGTCTCTCCACTTCCATTCATCATCCACGTGAACAAACTTTCTCTCATGTGACACGATGAATCTCAAATGATCACTCATAACTAAAATGTTGGGATTGCAAATATGAGAATTCTGTACATTCCATGTGTCAACATTTAATACCATCAAATTGGAGTTTTCAAATATTCAGATCCATGCAATAGCAGAAAGGGAAATAAAGGGTTTCAACAATTTTCAAGTGCCGAAGTCGACAGTTAAATTGTCTATCCTGACATGTAGTAAATATTGAGTTCGGTAGTTCAGATGTCTAACTCGACGGTTTCGACGACACTATTCGACAGTTCAAGTGCCATAAATTTCGGGATAGCTTGAAAACCATATATTTGATGTTTTGGAAGAAATTATTGAAGACATTAATGGTGATAATCAGTTTTCAACTATAACATCACAATATCTTCCCAAAACTGAATAAGTAATAACTCAATACTTCATTTAAATAAGGAATAACTTAATGCTTCGTCGCTATATATTGGTATTTTTCCCCTTCAAAAAATATATCAAAAATAAAATACATCAATAAATAATAAATTTAAAAAGTTCAATTAAATATGGCCATGTCGTATTAAATATTTAAAGTAGTAAACTATGAGATGAAAATATAAACAATTTGTAGTAGCTCACATTTGAGATGGATGATCAATCCAATAGTTTTTCCTTGTTGATGATTGAATGAAGAGGGTGAAGAAGAAGGTAGGGTTTCTATGCATACATGTTTTTGTGTGTGTGTGTTTTTTTTAACTATTCACCCCTTTTTTAACTAAAATTCATATTATCCATATAATAATCATATCTCAAATGTTTAAAACATACAAAAACAAATCATCACATCACATCATTAATTGCTTTCAAATCAAGCATTTATTGCTCCTAAAAAGGTGTCATAAGGGTAAAATGGACCTTTTGCAACAAAAAGGTGACAATTTTTGAAGAAATTAGTGCTAATGGGAATTTTTTGTACATTTTCAATTTTAGTGACATTTATGAAAATTTACCTTAAACAAATATTAAACTATTACTCTTTCCCAAATTTATGTCTATATATACCTAAACTTACTCCCTTAATGTGGGTGGACCCACATGGGGTCACCTGGGGTCAAGTGATCATATATATATAATTTTTTTCTTTTAAATTTGTGTAGCTGCAGAAATTCTTGTTCAAAACCTAACTTTCTAGATTGAATACATTTTACATCATACTCTAATTGTTTCTTGTTGTATTAGCTTTTACAATTGAAAGGGGAATCGTAAATGGAGTTTGATGATGTGTCATCTTTTATGAAAAATCTAGATTTTATAGTTGTTATTCTAGGGGCTTTGGATTATTCAAGTGTATCTGCATATTTGTTTGATATATGCTTTGCATAAAAGAGTGTTTAGAAAGGTTGAAGGCATTAATTTAATTAATATGAGTTAGCTCTCGGTTTAAATGGTGATTCCAATCAATAAAGCTTACCAATTTTCATCAAATTGTAGGAGTTAAAACTTCATAACATTTAAGTAATAGTACATTATTAATGAAAGGGACAACTAATCCCGACCCATTCAGTTCCTTTCCATTTGCAGGTAAACGCTATCCTTTTTACTTTCTTCTCCTCCTCCTCCTCCTCTTCTTTGTTCCCATTCTTCTATTAGGGTTTACCAAATCCTCTTCCATATATAACTGATATTAGCATGAATATATGTACAATAATTTATGACAATATGAACTTTCTCTCTATTTTTTTGGTAGTTAGATTGTAGAATATACCAAGAACAACGTCGTATGTGAGGCTAGTTTAGTATTTGATAACAGAAGAATGAGGATTTCGCACTTCCACATCGAAGAATAACAATGATAAAATTGTAGCATTCAAAAAACTCCCAATTATTGTTCCCAAAATTGACCACGTTGCAATGATAAAAATAGCAAAATTTTCATACGTTTCTCTTTAACTTTTTTCCATTTCAGATTACACAATATAGATTGTAGAGATGGTTGTAACTACTTTCCAGAAAAGGGGAGTGCTATGGAATACACTATTGTGGTATGGAGAATGTGGTCAAAAATTCATAATAAAGTCCGACCACAACAAACGAATTGATTATCTTCATGCATAAGGAAATTTTTTTATTCCATTGTTTTCTATGATAAACAAGAAGAAAATGAATTTTGACAGCATTAATGTGATCTTATTCCATTATGTAGAAATGTAATCTTCCATTAATGTTATGCTATTTTTTCTTTTAAAAAAGTCATTTTTATTTTTGACCTCACAATACAAAACATCGTGCTTTGTCCCTATTACTTAACGTTAAAAGTGAAAACTAGATATAGATTACAAATTCACAGTTGCCAGTTGTATCTACCAAGAGTTCAAGAATCCTTTCTTATTTTTCTTTTGGCCAGTTTTGTAAAATGTGCTTGCATGCTTATAACCGAGTTCCTAGTAGTGATACTTACTTGAAATCACAAAATCGAGGTTGAATTACTTGCCTTTAATTTACTTGTTTTCCACACCGTCTTGTACCCGTTTCTTGGTCAGAAATTCAATCACAAAGGTAGGAATTTATAGTCACAATCCAAGAATCAAATTTGAGATGTTATTATTCCAAAATCAAGCCACAACACTCATGTTGTTT